GGGAAAACTTTTTTTCATATAGTCATCTTTATTTCATTTGAATGGCATCAGATAAAAGTACCAGCATCATTGCCTTGGCCAATACAGATTCTTGAAACAAATTTCATTTTTATCCAATCCTCAACATGTCAGGGTTGTTTTTCTTTAACCTAATTTTATTGTGCTTGGTTGCATTTTCTATATGTAAATGTTTCATTGTTCAGTCATAAATTAATTTGTTTTGACTCTTGTTTTTTTTAAAAAAATATTGCTTTGAGTTTTATATCCTGATACTTTGATTTCTTTTGTGATCAACCAGTAGGTTTTCCTTTTTTTAACCATCTCATTTCTTTTATAGACACAGCTGACCAGCAACAAAGTCTTTTGCCAAACTCCACTTTTGATCATCTTCCTGAAAGAGTTTTATAATCTTTTCCAATATTTTAGTTGACAGTTCTTTTAGTGGAGCCATGTTTCCTTTTTAATTAAATATGCCCAACTGCATGTTGAGGTCTGCAATAACTCTCTTAACTGTAGACCAATTTGCAGATTTAGGCTTCTTTCTACTGTTATTTGTTTTAAGAATGCAAATTACAAGATTATTTCATATTTTCTTCTATATGGCTTGGAATATAATGATACCATTAATTTAAATAATTGAATCTAGTTTTTTAAGGCAAATTTTATGAAACCATAATCTTGAGCTCTTAAATTTTGCCAGGGGTTGTAGCTTGCTTGCCATTATAATGAAGATGACACTGAGGGAGAAAGAAACTGCATGAGAGAATTGGCCTGCAGGACCAGGTTGGTAGACATTGCAGGTAAGGTCAATCGAAGCATCTAAATCCTCAATAATTTAAATTCTTTCAGCTCTATTGCATGTGAAGACTGATTCCCAGCAGGGTCACTCAGTGAGATTATGATCCACTTTGATAGTGAATGACAGATTACAAGCCCTGGAAAGAAAATATGGAATTAGCACACTTAGAAGACATACACTTATTTTTTTTTTTTTATTTAGCAATAAATAAATAGAGGAGGAGGCACAGTTGAGTAATGGATTGCAGCTTGGATTGAGGAATCAGAAATCAGAGTTTGAATTCCACTCGAATCCATTACATTCACTTATGTGCTAATACCCTTGGAAAAAGTATGAATCTTCTTCTTCTCCCCCCCCAAGATATGGATAAATAGCAGGACTGACTGAGTTCTATAGCCTTGGATGGCAACTGGTCTACCACAGAAAGAAACAACAACCTACTGTGGGAAAAATCTGCCTCATCAGTCATATATCGAAAGATACATGGTCACCTAAGCATGTATCACGCATGGCACATAACTGACTGAAATAAACAGATAAAATGCAAAACCTCTTTTATTTAATAACTGAGCATTCTGGCTTCTTAAAATATATGTTAAACAAACTAGACTGATAAAATTTTTCCTTAATGGTATATTCCATATTTTCTTTTACGTGGCTGGAAATAAAATGATGTCATTAATTTAAATAATTGAAACTAGTTTGTTTAAGATAGATTTTATGAAACCAGAATCTTGAGCTATTAAATAAAATGTTTTAAATATTATCTGTTATTAGATTTTGTTTTACTACTAAATAAAAACAAATCTTAAGTTTTCATCCTCTATGCATGATAATTTCATAATTTTTGTCTAGGGTTGTACATGGTATCCTATAATTTGTAGTTGTCAGAAACAGAGAAAATCAATTTTCATGAAACAAAAAAAAAGTGCATGTTAACTTAAACTGCAAATAAAAATTGAAAAATAATAATTGAAAGTCAATTTAACCTGGACAATAAAGGATAATCTTGCTGTTATTGTAATAAATGAATTTACGAAATTAATACCAAAAAAATAACAAAACTTCAATTATTTGATAAACGTTTTTTGTTTTATTAATAAAACAGTTTTTTTTCTTCAAGTGTCATTAAGCAGTATATTTTCTTTTGGTTGTATTTTTGAATGTACTGTAATGACAAAGTATCATCTTTCACATTTCTACAATCGATGGCAGCTCATATAAGTATCCTACCCTCAGTAGATGTCTCATGTGTCAGTCTATGTTAGGTTTAATAAATTGTCCCAATCTTCTTTCTTTTTTTTTTCATGTATACAATAAGAATATTGTTTAGCTTTGTTTGGTACAGGAACACATCAAACAGAAGTTGAGACTATTTTCCAGTGGGGGAGGTTCAGCCTGCCTTTAAAACTCCTGGGTTTCAGCTTGAAGAAAAACCATCAGTAATGGTAGGAGATGCACAAATACCTCCTCAACCAAACCTTTAGTTTAAATAACACAAGGCTGGCAAAATACCATACCAATGGTAAGTTTATTTTTGTTTTTTTTTGTATTTACAAAAGCAAAGAAAATTGGAATATAAACATTTCAAGATAATATTCTCAAGCTGTAAATTTTAAAAACTAATGAAGTTTGAAAACCCTATTTTCAATAAATCATTATCTGGTTAGAAAGAGCCAATCACAGTATTGTAAGATAAGTAGAATCAAACAGTCTGTTCTTGTTAAATGAATGTTGATCATCTTGGCTGTTACTGGTAAAAATTATGACTAGACTGTCATTTTAATTTTTTTTCCCAGTTTCTTTTGTTGGAATTTATTTGTTTCATATACATAAGTAAAAGTTGAATAAATTGTTCATAATGTATTGGAAAATAGTATAAATGGAATCAAACACCGGCAATTTTATTTTGACCACCCAGAGTAAAAAAAAAAAAAAATCTTCTTGCTGGATCTACACAACCAAGCTCGTCTATGATTTTCCTTTCATAATTAAATTCTGGTACAGAAAATTCACTGGGTTCCCACTAATTGTGGCCATGTGCCACAACTAAATTTCATAACTGTTTAGGCATTTCATTTGGGAGAAATTGTTAGTTCACTTCTCTCACAGATCATTGTCTTTTCCTTGTGAGTTTGTTCTCACTAATTGTAGCCTTGTGCCAGACTGGGTTGAGATTATTTCCTCAAATATTATATTTTCCAATGCTGGTTGATTTGAGGTAGTGGTTTACAAAGACGTTGACGTAGTCCATTTATAAAGAGGCCAAGAATATAACTGTTAAGAAAATGAGTTTAACACCCCCAACACAAACACACTCACATCCCACCCCCACCCCAGCACAAAAACATAAATAATGAGCAGTTTTGGAGGATGAGACTGACACTACATCCTCTTTTCATATAATTTATTCATTTATGAATTAGCATTTAAAATCTTTTTCTTTCTTTTTATTTCAGTCTAACAATGCATTACATGTAACCCCCATCATCAGATCTTTAATAAACTTGCCAAGCCAAATATTTCTTATGATCTTTCTAACTGAAGACAAATAATTATTTTTCATCATCAGTCAGAATATCTGCTTTGATGAATTGGAAAAACCCTATAAGGGTGAATGTACAGTAATTCAAATGGCAAATCTCATTTGCTTGAACATCTTAAGCATACCAGTGTTCTCTAAAGGTTGTCAGTCAGATTTACATGGAATTAAGATGTGATGTTATAATTAAGGCTTAGGAATTTTTAATAATTGAAATTAGAAACTAAAGACTAGACTAAACATAAAAAAAATTAGAAAGATCTTTCATTCAGTTGAATTTCAAGGCTTGTGCCAGAATAAAAAAAATATATTTATTTTATTTTTTTTTTAATCATTTTCTAAAGCTAGGAGTGGGTGTTCATAATATCGATAGTGTATAACCAATCCCTAACTTGTTCATTTAAAAATCCTTCTGAAAAAACAAAAAGAGATATACACTTAATGAACAAAAGTTTATATAAATAAAGAATATATATATATATAGATATATATATATATATACTGTTAAGATAAATAATTATTATCCCCTAAGTTTTATACATGTCCTTCTGAAAAAAAAATCCCTCCTACAAAAAAAGTTTTTAACTGTGTAAAAAAAAAGTTTAAATATATATATATTTTTTAAATAAAAACAGACCACTTTAAGGTTCCATGTAATAAATTATTTCACCATAGCCCTTTTAAAAATGAATTTAAAGATTAGCTATTTAAAAGGGTTGTGGTGAAATAATTTATTACATGGAACCTTAAAGTGGTCTGTTTTTATTTAAATTATTTGCTCTGGATTTTATCCTCCTTAGGTTTACCCATACGGATTACCTAGTTTTTCATAAACTAACGAGATATATATATATATATCATCCAGATATCAATCATATGAGCAGTTTCAAATTAGACCTTTCTAAATAACAAGTTTGTAAATAATAAATATCAGTATATTTTGATTCTGATGTCTTTTGAGCAAGGTCTAATGAATGCTAATCCCCCCACCCCCCAAAAAATTCACTGAAAAAAAGATTCCCTATTTTGTTCTCAGTGGACCAGTTTATTTAAGTATTGTGAATTGGTTGCTAGGTCAAGCTTCAGTCTAGGCAGTTTTATTGTTGATGTATGAAATAGAAAAACTTTTAGGAAAAACCTTTTTTTTTCTTGTTGATTTTTAACTTGTTCTAATTGGCAAGTGTATTAAAGTTCAAATTAATTCAGTAATTTTGTTATTATGAAGAGCTCTTTATCTTTCTTAAATCTTAATAAAATTCCAAGAGCTACTGTATTTGATGCTATAAGATATTCCTCTATCCCAAAAAGAAATATCTCTTAGGTCTTGCATACAAAGTTGAGGTAGACTAATGTTTACCCAGAAACTGCAGACAAACAAGACTTTGCCTGATCCCTATTCCAGAATATTGTAATATTAAATGTAATTTGTTTCTGTGAACCAGTTGATGTCATCAAAGATTGATTCTAATTACAACTGGAATTTTTCTTTTTATTAAATTGCAAAGTACTGGAAAATAAAATGCCCTGAGTAGGAAAAAATAGAGTTGATTGGGGAGGTACTTCCAGTATTGAATCTCCTGAGTTAAACTGGATATTTTTTTTTTTTTGATAATCTCTTCTGTAGTAATCTAAAAATAGTAAAAAAAAAACAAACAAATGTTATGAGGTTTTTAGTTGGTAAATAAGGTCTTTGAGGTTCTGTCGTTTCTTCTGTATATTAGCTAAAGAAATGACATCATCCAGTGTAAGTATGCATGCTTCTACAAATTCCCGAATGAGATGTTCACATGTGCTTATCACATGCATGCCACAGTCATAGCCTGAAAAATAAAAGAAATATATATATATATATGTTTCATTTTAGAACATTAATCACCTTAAATTTATTGCATTAGATAGAGGAATATAAGAGAGTCCTTCTCCACACCAGTAGGCCTCATAGTTTGGTCCGAGTGATAGTGGGGGTGGATTACAAATGCTCAATTTAAAAAAAAAAAAAAAAAAAAAACAGCACAACTCTCTCCACCAACATGGACTGTAGCTGTTTATTGAATCTATAGCAGGTATGGCCAAAGTCCAGCCTGGGGTCAAATTTCATATGAAATGCAATTTCATGTTTTACCAAAAGATGGTAGCAGCACTGTGTGACCCTGACCTTGGCCTTTTCCAGCCAATTTCTAAAATCACTACTTTTGAACAAGACCAGGCCTACATACTGCAGTCCAGGTCTCAGTATCACTCTTTACATTAGTGCAAACAAGTTATTTATTTTAGTCATCCGAGATAAATTTAATTCATTAAGATTTTAGAATTTATTCATTTTGTGTTGATCAAAATCAGTTAACAATATATTTGGACACTTAGACTTATGTCACTTTGTTTTCTACTTCTTAATTAGTGTTATGTTCCTATTCATGTTTTTAATTTCAAAGTGACAGACAACATTAATTACCAATAATAAATAATGTTTAAGATTAACCTGAGATAGAGCTTCCTGGAAGTTCTTTTATCGCAGATATACTTCATCTTATATGAGCTTCAGATGACAGGCTGAGTGATTTTGGCAAGACCTGTTTAAATTTATTTGTCATCCATGTAAAGAAATGAAAATATGCCATTTGCAATCAAATTTTCATAACATAGTTCCTTTGCATTTCATTTTAATGTTTCAAAGAATGCCAAGCCCTAATGCATTTCAACCTCATCAAATCTGGCTCTCTTCGAATAAAGTTTGGACACCCCTGATCTATAGGAATTGAAGAATCAATTCAATGAAAATCGATTCTGTTCTGTGTGTTTAAAGAAAATGAATCTTACCATTTTCCTGCCGTGGACATGTCCTTTCTTTGAAGTATAATTTGTCAGGGCCTGTTTTAAAAAGAGAAAAAAAAAGATTTTGGACACAAAAGAAAAAACTTAAAACAATTTAAGTAAATCATGAAAGTTTTCAATGGCTACTTCTCTAGTTCCTTTCATATTAATACAAGGTAAGCAGGTCTGTCCTTGGACATACTTTGCACACTGGGTACAGAGACCGTACAAATGTTTGCCTGTATAATATGTCCTACTTTGACACACATTTTTTTTCGTTAACGACCTTTCCTAGATGACATAATTTCCCAATTTAGCATTTACTCTGCAACACAACTATTTACTCCAGCCTTAATCAGACTTATCAGATTTACTATTAAGTAAAACTGGCAGCTAATCCCCTTCATTTGTGCATTAAATATTGTTGCCAAATCTGATCTGTTCCTTCTATATATCTCAAGATTCTTGAGAAAGTCCAAAGATGGGTCTGTAATGTTATTGGTCCTGATCTGACATCTCATCTTCAATCATTTTTGTACTGTCATGTCACAGTTTCTCTCTAACTATTGTATAAATATTTTCATGGCAACTGTTCTGATGAGCTTTCTTCCTTTGTACTTTGACTGCATGAATTTAAGCATACCACAAGGTTGGTATGTAGGTCTCATCATTTTTATTGTTGAAATATTTAGATGCAACTGTAAGTTCTATTTCTGTACTTCTTGCATGTGGAACTCTCTTCCAGCTTACCTGTCAACCTTAAAATTTCAAGTGCAACACCAATCACCATCATCTGTCTTCCTGAATCTTGTTCTTTTATTGCTCTGTCTCCCAGAAAATGACTTTCTCGTTTTCTTTCACTCTCGGTAACCCCTAGTACTTTAGTGGCACTATTACCTTACTTGGCATGGAATGGTTAAAAAAAAAAGTACAATTTATAGTGTGACACTATGCCAGTAATAAATATTGATTTCTAAAAGCAAATAAGTTGTATTATATAAATTTAAATTTCAAAATTTTATATAAGGGTTTCAATGTTCTTTGTACTAAAGAGCATATTTTAAAAATTTCATTAAATGTGAGCATATTTAAACAAAAAAAAACAATAGTTTAGAAACACTTCAGAAATGTTTTTCAGAGTGTGACTTGGTTACATATACAAGGTAATTTTGAAGAAATAAAATACATAACAGAAAAATGCCTTTTTCCCCGCTTCTTCCAAGGGTGGCATCTTACCAGGGAAATAATTGAATAACTTCTGTGAAAGACACATTGATACATTTTGGTTAGATGGTGTCAAGGAATCGAAGTGATGAAATTCTTCAATGTTGCGATCATAGACAAGCAAACTCCTAAAAATAAACAAGTGAAAATTTAAATTGTTTATGTAAAAATTCCAGATATAACTACAATATATTTGTAAAAGGACAATATGAATAAAGACAAAAGGAAAACTTATCTTAACCAATATGTTTCATCCTCTGACAGACTTATCAAGGCAAATGTTGGTTTTTCAAACTTTTTCAATTTAAGAGAGGCTTATAAATATTCATCAGATTAATTGAAAAGTCTTGGTAAATTATGAAGGATGCTAAGTGACAATTAAATTACATCATCAGCAGGTGAATGCCTAAAACTGAATAGCATATGAAGAGACATTAAAAGGTTTAATGCTGCAAATGTGCTTGTCCTTTGGGGGGGATGACAGCAGTAGTTATATACAATTATTTACTTTGTAGCCATAAGTTCAATCCATAGATCAGGCAATGAATTCAGTCTTATTCAGTGGTGGCATAAGCAAGGATGGATTAATTAATGAGATATTCCACTCTCCATTTTTTAGAGATAAGAATGATCTACTACCATAAATCTTCAGACAGCACAAACAAAACAAAAAAAAGGACAGCTATGCAGAATTTTTCTATGATGAAATAAAAGAGCAAGCTGAACTCTCTAGTCTTGGTTGGAAAGCAATCTAGAAGGGAGCGGGAAACCATTTCACTCCTTCTCCAAAAACAATTATAAACAAAAAGAAATGAGGACCTATAGCTGCTTACATTCTGAAGTGACTTGGTATTTAAAGGTGATTTAGTGGCTTCTGATATTTATCAGAATACAAGTAAATCTTTGAGAAAAAAAAAAAAACATACAAGATATATTTAAAAGAACCTAATAAACAATTCCTAAATAATAATTCTAATAAACCTTTAGGTCATTTCTGGATTATTACTCAATTTTACAGGAAAAGGAGAAAAAAAAAAAAGACAGTGTAGGGGTTCAGTGCAAGGCAAGACCAAGTAAAATGCTTGCTAACACACAACACTCAGATTTTAGACTGGAGGAAATGATTAGGTGACTTTAAACAGTTTTGAAAAGAAATGTTAACCTTGAAAATTTTAGTCTAGTCAAACTTTTATAGTTTTCCACCTTTTAAACTAATGTTGATTTGTGAAGTTATTACAGAAAATATTTATGTGTGTGTGTGTATATATATATATATATATATATATATATGTACCACCACAGCAAATGTGATACCTATGATGCCACTAAATCCTCTTTTAAAAATGAAAAATCTTACTTGAAGCTTTTATTTTAGTTTTAATTTCAAGCTAATAGATTAAATTTAATATTTTCAATAAGCAAAATACTTATCACACTTTTTTTTTTTTTTTTTGGTAATGTCATGTTTGGTGTCCATATCTACAAAAACAGCACATTTATACACATACAAAAAGATTCAAAATTCTCATAAAAATAATTGTCTGAGGATTCATAAATATAGTTTTTACTTGATAATAATATCATCTAAAAGGGTGGAATTAATACAAAATTTAAAGTTTAATAAATTATTCTAATTAAAATTTTAAAAAATGTAAAACAGGTTCATTATTTATCGAAAAAAATTTTTTTCTTAATACATTAGTATCCTTAATATACTTTATTTTTTTATACCTTGTTTTGGGGCTTTTTTTTTCATCATGGTATGCTCTATGTTAGCAAATTTTTGGAGGTGCCTTATATATATATATATATATATATATATATATATAAAATGGGAGAAAATATATAAATTTTTATACATCAGAACAATGTTATGAAAATTAATTAATAATTGCCACAAGGAATTTAATTAAATAAGATTTTACAAAACAACACATTAAATGTATTAGTTTCTCACTGTATTGAGACTAACCAAAAGTGTCCGAGTTTTCTAACATGTAATTTAACAACATCCAATATTTGAGACATGCAACAGATTCATTGGTAACAGTGAATCTCATTTTGTTATGCTTGCTAGGAAATGAATTTGCTAAACTAAGAGAACATTCTGATAAGAAGTTATGACAATTCTGAGATAAGAAAAGGAAAAAAAAAACAAAAGAATTTGGGAACAGTTAACAGCCAGTACCATCCATGTCTAAAGGTGAGATAGCATTTAAACAAGGTATTTTCATCATATTTTGTGAAATTTGAGACTACAAAAAAATAAAAGATTGGAATAAAACTTTCAAATATCAAAATTGCTGTGTCTGTCCTTATTCATTTTTTCCCTAAATTATTTTGATGGGTTTTCTTTAATAAAAATTGAAATCACTTTCTGATTTGTTTATATGGATACATTTTCTTTGCTTTCTAATCAATAACAAATAATACTTGATTCCTAGTATTGAGTATAATTGTTGATTAGCTACTTATGTTATATTGATAACTCTTACTAAAGGTCGCCTTAATAATTTGAGGATAATAGTAATTTAGGACTAACAGGTTCTCCTCTAGCCAAAAACACAAGCTGCATGGTTGCCAGGCTTTCACTTAGCATTATCTAATTAACACTTGTAAATGATAAAGTACAGCTTAAGTAAATGATATTACAGCTTTTCTGTTCAATGCTGAAAATATAAATCCGTTTTTTGCAAATTTGAGTAAGGGAGACAACTCTAATTTCTTTATGACATTTTTAATACACATTTCTTGTCCTTTGGAGCTCTTAATACAATTTTGTCTTTGTTATTTCTCCTAAACCCTGTTCTGACATCAATTTTTCCCAAGCTTGCCAGGTTGGTTATGCATTGTTTTCTATCGTTCTTGCCTTCAATCTATTGTGAGTATCAAATTTTCCAAGCCCTCTTTCCTTATGTACCCTAGAAATTTCGACAATTTTTACCAGATATTAATAATTATGCAAATCGAAAATATTTCAATCACAATAGACAGCTAAAAAAGACCAGAAGGTACACAACTGAAACAATGTTAAATACTTAGATGAGGAAATTAGTTCAAACCAATAATAGATGGAACCTCCATGTCTTTCCATCTAACTTGTCCTTCAGTTTGATATAGATACAGTGTGATTTTTTTTTTTTATGTATTTTTAACCAAAGAAAATAAATTTCCCAAGATATTATGTGTTAACTGTTTCTCTCACTCTATGATGTAATGGAATAATTTGTCACCCCCCATGAGTGACTACACTATAGGTAGTAACTACCTATAAGTATCTGTAAGTCAACAGATTATGGAGAGTAGCTGGGATCTGTTAAGTACAACTCAGACTTACGCGAGAACTACCGACCTTCCAATAGTGGTACTCACTACTGGATTGACTTGCGACGACCTTGTACATAACTGTTACCTTTATTCTTATTGTACTGGTTTATTTACAATAAACCTTTACTTATTTTATCCACCTTGTTTTCCAAGTATATATTCCTATTAGCACAGAATATAACACTATGCAATTTTTCAATAATGTTTTTGTATATATTAATAATTATATTTAAGGTCTAATATAGCAAATGAAAGCAAAGAAAAAAATATTTTTCATAAACAATATAATTTCTCATGATCTAAATGGAGATTTTAAAATTCAGAATTATATCAAAGAAAAAAATGGTGGTTAACATTTTGGTGCATAAAACTTAACTACTATGTGACGAGTTATTGGCAAAATATCTTGTTAATCATTGCATTCTTCTTGGGAGTGAGGGATGTGATATCTCACAAATAGTAAAATTTACTCACCAATGTGTGCCTCCATATGTATTGGCAGCCATGTTATCATTGACTGCCATAAAGATGTAGTGTTTTTGTTGAAGATTGAGAGGATCCAGAAAGATGCAAATTTCCTCATCTGGAAAAATAAAATGTAAGGGAGGTGTAAATTTAAGAGAAATGTAGAAAATTCTAAACTCTTTATTCCTATGTGATAATAATTTATTTTCTACAAAAAAAAATTGCTTGTGCATGCGATTATTATTTCCTGGAATGCCTAACTTTAATCAAATTAAGCAATTTTAGATTCAACTACATTGCTGTTGAAATTTGTTTATATTTAATTCATCAAATAAAAATTAAACATTTAAAAATATAAAAATACATTGCAACTTGGGTAGGGGTTATGAAAAAAAATACAGATATTTACTATATTTAGCCTAGCCAGGCACAAGGCTTACATATTGAGGTACGAGTGGGGGTAAAATTCACTCTACTAGTAATTGTTTATGAGATTGCTTTGGTGGGTAACTGAATAACAAAACAAAAACAAAAATACTGTGACATGTTCCATCTTTTAGAATGGACTTCTTCAAACTAAATGTTTTTACTGATGGAGTCCCTTATATATGTCATTTGATGGAATGAAATATAAAAAAATATCGGCTGTAGTTATACATTGAGAGAAATGTTGAAAATTTAAATTTCCAGCATCCAATGTGTGTAGAAGCACAACCTGGCTGACCTTATTCAGCTTTTCACTGCTGCTGTTTTTAAAAATCCTACTGGATTGCTAAACATCTCTCCTGAACAAGAACCAAATTAATAAAATTAAAAATTAAATTAAAAAAAAAGAAAAAAAGTCTATTCCTTACAAATATTCACCTGACAATGGAAGCCAAATATTTTATTTTTTCTTCTTAAAGAGTTTCAAGTGAAAGTTTGAAGTTGCCATTTTTGTATAAGCTTTATTTCTTTTTCTTTTTTTTTTTTTTAAACTTTGATTACACGATAAGTATTTATTTCCTGCAAAAGAAATTTCTTGTGAAGGTCATTATACCTAGTTGTTATTCTGATGCAGAATCTGAATTTAATCAAAATTGTTTAATAAGCAATTTTTTTAATTTGATTACATACTAATAATTTAAAAAAAAAAAAAAAATGTAATTCAGCAAATCAAAATTGAACATTTAACAATATTAAAATTTACTGTAAGTTGTGTAGGTTATAAAAACAAATAGATATTTACTAACCTTTACCTAGTCAGACACAAGGCTGACACATATTGGGGTATTGTTGGTTCCAATACTACTTGGAAGTACTGCAAAACACTTTCCCCTCCCCATTTTATAAGCAGAAGCACACTAATGCATGCTGGGATTTTTTCCTAGCCAATAAATTTGGCCGGTTCTCAGTCTCATATGACTCGGTGCCGGTTTGCCTTGTCTTGAAGTCAGAAAGCTACGTTCGCTTGTCCAAACTTGCTCTTGTGTGTCAGCCCCAAGTTTTAGTCTGTGAACTTTGTGCCAACTTACTGTTTTATTGCCTTATTGTTTGCTTGCTTTATATTATTCTTTGCTCTGTTCTTTTCTTTTTCTTGTTATTGCTTTGTCAATTCAGTTTGTTGAACAATTCTGTTACTTATTTTACATTTGACCATGGCTACTCACTCCACAAAATGGGGGTAAAATTCACTCCACTAGCAATAATTTATAAACTTTCCTAAACTTCACCCTAGAGCAGGAACTAAAATTAATAAAAAAAGGTATATTCATTATAATCACAAAGAAAACATTTCTTTTTAAACAGCTTCAAGAGAATGTTTGAAGTTGCCATTTTTGTATATGTTATTTTTTTTTTAAAACTTTTGTTATATGAGTGAATTGTATTAGTGACCATAACACAGTGAGCAGTTGTCATTAAAATGGTTGCTGGCATTTTTTAACCTTCAAAATTTAATTAAAGAATTCATAGTTGTAAAATGAGAAAAGAAGAGGGGATTTGTTACCTGAAGAAAGTTTGATTGCTTGAGTGACAGAAGGACTAATAAAACCAATTAAATCTGCACAGTGACCAAACTGCTCTTTTTCAAAATATCTACAAAAATAAAACATTTATAGATTAGACATTTAAAACTTATCTTCCCAGTTTGAGTAATGATTTAATTTATTGCATCATTTAGTAAAACAAACATATGTAAATGAAAAAATATTTTTTACCAAGATTTTCTAAAACAAAAAAATTTCAAAAATAATTTCATTACGTCCTGAAAAAAATAACTACCCTAAATACCTATTAATTGACAGAGCTTCCACCTGATAAAACTGTTGTAGTCAGTCAGTGGGTCTTACACTATTAAAACTAATAACACTAGTAATGAATGGTTCAAAATAAGATTCGTTGCAAAAGGCTACCTGCAAAAACTTGGAATAGATTATCACAAAACTTTCTCTCCCACATGTTTATTGTCTGTAAGAACTTTAATGCAATTACCTATTCAACGTAATTTATTTGTCCACTAAATGAATGTAAAAATGGCATATTTAAATGCACCAATAGACTGTGAAGTATAGGTTCAACAACCCGAGGTCTATTCCATTAACAACAAAAACAATGACAAAGTTATATGGCAACTAAAATAAATCCTTATACAGACTTAAACAAAGCAAATGTAGCATTCTGTCTTCTAAACAAGGTAGATTAGGACTGAGTCATGTCAAACTACAAACCAGCTTATTTTATTGGTTAAGAAAAAAATCCCAGCATGCATGTGTGTGCTTTTTGCCTATAAAAAGGGAGGGGCAAGTGTTATGATAAAAAGAGACAGCAAACAATACCAAGGAATGGTACAGAATATAGAACATTAAACACAAGCATTAGAAACAAGGGCATGTAATGGAAGAATGGCTCATTAAAAAGTGCACCGTGATAGAAAAAATGAGCATCAGAGGTATATAAAAGAAGAAAAGATATAACAGCAGGAAAGGCATGCACCTTGTAGTAAAAATTATAAAAGAGAAAGAAAAATACTTGAAAGATTGAGCAAATAAATCAGAAAAGTCTTTCAAAGTAGGGAAAACCTACAAACACGAAAATATGAAAGGATCTGAAATATTTGAATTGAGATCAGCATGATCAGAAACAAAACAGCCAAACCAAACGAAGTTGTAATAAAGATGCTATCAGCCTAAGATGATTTTGGCATTGACAAGATTGCAAAAATAATAAATGAAATATATGACATTGGTAACATACTGGACAACTTTAGTAGGTTCATTTTCATAGCACAACCTAAGAATCTAGGTGCAAATAAATGCAAGTTCCATTGGACAATCAGTGTAATGAGCCACATAATTAAGCTTATCATCTTGATTCTTATGAATAGAGCACATAGAAGAATTAAACTGGAAATCAGACAAGAACAGTGTAGTTTCTTTAAAGAGACTGGAACAAGAAATGAAATATTTATGATCAGAATGATATCAGAGAGAGCAATACAAATACAGGAGGACATATACCTATACTTCATAGACTATCAAAAAGCATTTGAAAAGGTATAACAAAGATCTATTTGAACTGTTAGGAAAATTTTTAGAATAATCTAGAACTTGTACTCTGAGCAAACCAGCTGCATACAGATAGAAAATAAACTAAGTACACAATAATAGGAAAGGGTCTAAGACAAGGATGTGTCTTTTCGCAGAATTTATTTAGCATATACAATGAAGAAATTTTAAGTGAACTATATGTCCTACCAGGATTTATTACTGGTGGGCACAATCTTAACACAAGATACACAGATGACACCATATTGATGGAAGACACAGAAAGAAAATTGTAAGATCTCTTAGACCAAGTAGAAAAGGAAAACAAGAAGAAAGGACTAACTATTAATTGTAAGAAGCCAGAATGTACAGTTGTAAATCAGAGGAACAGCTCAGGATGCAAACTACGAATTGGAGATGTTAAAATCAAGCAAGTACGGAAATTGTAATATCTGGTAAGTGTTCTAACAGATGATAAAAAAATGTGACATCAAAATCTGAACGTGCACTGAAATAGCAAAATATGCCTTCCAGAGGAAAATTTCTTTGCAAACAAAGAAAAGAGTGCTGAACTGCTATGCAATATCAATCCTCCTATATGGAAGTGAATGCTAGACAATTTCCTCATAGAGGAAGAGGCGACTTGAGACAACAGAGATGTGGTTTTATAGAAAAAAGCAGAGAGTACCATGGAGGGAGCATGTTAACAATGAGGAAATTTTAAGAAAAATGGAAACAAAAAGTACACTTATACAGTGATACCTCAGCTTAAGTTGTTTCAATTCAAGTCATTTTTGAAGATATGTCAGTTTTTCTTAAATATTATCTGGAAAAATAAAACTCGCCATAAGTCATTTTACTAGAGTTTAAATTTAAAATTGTTTTTTACTTAATTATTTTAAATTATTTTATTCAGTATACTGTACATACATAACATAAATACTGTAATAAGCAATGGGGAATGATTATTTGCAATTATTAGTGTGGTTATTTTAACCTAAGTCACGACCTCTAGGACCAATTAATGACATAGAGTGAGGTATACCTGTACTTAGAATCAGAAAGTGTTGAAATTTTGGGGATACATAATGAGGAAAGAGGGCTTGGAGAATTTGACACTTACAGGATATATTGAAGGCAACAGAGACATAGGGAAACAGAAAGTAGCCTAACAAGTTTGTGTAAATGGACAGAACAAGCTTGTGTAAAGGATGTTAGAAAAAACCTTGCTAAGAACTATAAAGGATAGGAAGTTATGGAGAGCTAAGATCACCCACATCCTGAAGGAACATGGCACATAAGAAAATCATTTTTTCTTTTATTTTTAAATGAACCCCCAATTATCTTAACAAAATATAGTCTTTGTTTTTTTTATAATTTGTGTTTTTCAAATCTTGGACAACTTTTATGCAATGTTTGAGGGAGAGTACCAATTTCTTGGTGCAGCAGAATTTCATGATATACTTGTATTTTGAAGAAATATAATTAATTTACAAATTGACAACAAATCTAGCAGAAGACCATTAAATGCACCCCCCCAAAACATAAGATCAATTTACCAATCGTAGTAGGAAAAGGCTGATACCCTTGATGTAGCAATAGCAGTCCTTTCATATAAGTAACTTTAGAACTCTACAGTTGTTATATTTAGTAGGTTACATATAAGCAATAGTACAATTTGTGCAACTATGTTTAACAGAAAAAAAAAGGAAAGGCTGAATGTATCAGTTGTTTGTTGTTTTTTTACTCCAAAGCACAAGTAAATTTGTCATTTGATAATATCATGCCCTTGTAGATGTTTTCTTTTGGGGGGTGAGGCAGTGGGTGAGGTATGAATCACCTTGATATTATTTGCAGCTGATATTGAATATGAATTCATTCCTAAAGTGACTGGGGAGACTTTCTAGAAAATATATTTACACAAACACATTTTTAAACATAAATATATGTTGTCTTCACACATACACAGACGTTTGTGCTTCTTATAATATGTAGATTTCATAAGCTGGTTAATGAAATTTGGGGAATAGAAAGACAAGAAAATGATAACACTATCGGCAATAAGATTGATGATATTTATTATATTTTAACCTTTTTGACTAAATTGAAGCATGAAGAGAAAGCTTTTGGAATTTTTGGATTTACTCAGAGAATATAGTTTCCACAGGGAGCCCTCTAACCAACATCAACTTTCTATGGAAGAATGAGTCCCACTTTGTTTATTCCTCATCTCATTGAAAATGGACACAGGCATTCCAATTTTAAAATCTATCTCTCTTTGTAGTTAAATAATAAATATCATCAATCTTATTGTCAAAATTGTTATCATTTTGTAGTCTTTTTATTCCTCAAATTTCATTAACTATTAAATATATAGTAAAAATATACTTTTATGGTATGCTATATTTGAGTCAAAAATACTCGGTATCAATGATAGAGCATATGTAGGTCAACAACTCGTGGTAACAGTCTAAATGCAATCTTCAGGCCTGAAGACTGCATTCAAGCATGAAACAAACTGTTGCTACTCAGTGTTGACTTCAGTATCCAATTTTATTATATATATGAAATATGTGGTGCAGTTTAATTTATATCACAATGAATCATTCATACACAAAGTAAATTAGTAAAGTTAATGACATAAAATGGCAAAATCCCTTCACTAACTAAATTTTAAAGATGCATTAACTCGCTTATCACTCGATGAATGTTATGATCCTTGTTTTTTAAAATTATAAACTGTATTAGGTCTTCCTTAAATACGCAAGTACTTTCAACGGGTTCTCCAGTCATCCTCATTAACTTTACTAATTTACTTTTTGTATGAATGATTTTATATATATATATATATATATATATATAAAGGATTTGTATATTCTTTTGTCTTATGTATATTAGAGTGCACTATTTTCATTAAACATTAAACCACAGTAGTAGAATGGGATATAATAAGGAAGAAATTGCAATCTATGTATGAATTAAAAAGTTAAAATCATAGAATTCAAGAACATAAATGGATTAGTAAACAAAAGGAATGAAATTATCTTGAACTGTCAGTATGGTGATGCAGTCCTTTTGAGAAATATAAAAAGAACTGTAGAGCATGGGAATGTCCAAGAATAACAAACATCCATTTTGAAAATCACACTGTGTGAAACAACATGTAAATGGATAGATTATATATATATATATATATATATATATATATACTAGCAGTATAACCCATCTTTGACCAGGTGTTTCATTACTGGGAATTTTTTGCCGTTCAAATTAGAGCAGTTTAATTTTAAAGTCAGCCCACTCAAAAATCAATATTAGTAACAACAATTGGGTGCAAATGAAACACATCCCCAAATTGGGTTGTTAAAAATTTGAATCGGGGGGGATGTCCCTGAAAAGGGCTGTTATTGTGTTCTCGATCTTGCAAGGAAGGAACCTCTTCTATGGACCGTCATAATAATAACATACGATAATTTTTATTTATAATATATATTTTTTTTATAATTCTAATAATTTTTTGCATTAGATTCCAACTCTCTAAATTGATTGTAC